AAACCTCCTGAGGGACCCCAGATGCACATCTATAATACATACAGGATGTCATGATAATGTACAGAGCTTATGTTCTTACTTTGTATGAATTTGTGCTAATTCATTAAGCCAATGGAGAAGCAAATCTCTCAGTTGTCAGAAAAGTAAAGGGCCATTGGTTAAGCCTATCTCCCCTTGCTTTTCACCTTAAGCCCTTATATAAACAAAGAAATAAATTACACTTTTTTTTTTTCATTTAGAGGAAAGAATATGAAACTGAACACTTTTAAATACAGCCTCCATGACTTTAATTAAAATCTTACATTCATGAAGTCCTTTACATCATTTAGGCAGTCGTTCTATCACCTGATGACTCCTTCCCAGTCAGGGAGGGGAATCAGGAAAAAGAAAGGAGTCTTATTGGTTGAAATAGAAACAGATTGTAGGCCTCAGGAGTATAACCCTCCTAATGCGGGGGTTTCATCAAGAAAAGAGGACTGTTCCCAGAAAATCCCCCAACTTATGGTGAGCATGACATTTATAGTATGGATCAATTTTCTTGGCCATCTTGGGGTCAGCTGGTCTGGTTTTCAATCCCCCCAACTTCTGCACCTAAGTAAAATAAACTGGTAAAGCCCTTGATCACTGCATACAGTGAAAACAGGACAGTCTTGTGGTTCATTTCACAGCTAAAGCTGAGCTCCTTGTGGTCTAGGTGTACCTGAATTGGCATACTAGCAGTAAAAGACAGTGGTTTATTTCCTGTTTCTGCCAGCTGCTCCAGCTGGATGAGATCTTGTAAAAGTTCAGCTAAACCTGTCTCCACTGATTTTTTAAAGGATGAAATCACAGTATAAGAGTTTATTAAGCATTTCCTTGATTAAGACCACTAGCCCCCATGGGAAGTCAGATGTGCAATCAAATATAATAGGCGCATCCCCTCATGTGCTGAGGGTAACTCTGTCTGTCACATCACTTGGTGGAAATGAACCATTTACTTTCATGAAGATGGCAACACTCCTCTAACTTTTAATCTAGCAAAGCCCAAATTTTTCCAGTCCCCTTGTCCAACTTACTCGCATGCTAAGGTGAGTGAGCTGTGTGTAGGTAACAAGTTGGTAAAGCCTTAGTGGAATAAGGCAATTTCTTATTCCCACACACTACTCCACTGTGTAATGAATTTGGGTAATTCCATGGAGAAGAGAGAGCCACAGCAGGATGTATACCATGAGCAAGTGTGCAGGAGAGTAGCACTACAAGAATGGCCTTCAGCAGCTCTACCTGACAAGTAAGGGTATTTCACCACTAAATAAAAGAGGTTCAGGGCAGAGGTCAGCACTGTAGGCCTAATCGCTGCTTCACTGCTAGCTTATTTCCTCATCCTCCTAGTTTTTCTCTGTTTTATAGTCCTCTGCAAAGACACTCATCAGACAAAAGGTGAAAATAGAAAGGATTTGATGAAGAGTGAGAAGTCCAAGGGCCTGTCCATGAAACAATCAGTCACCTCATTTTTAGTGTTATGGAAATGAGACATCTTTTCCCTTTCTAGCACATGATTCTGAAGGAAGTCTTATCCTGCAAGCAGCCACACCCCCACAGATCTGGTGGAGTTCCCAAACCAGGGACACACATCAAGCATGTTGAGATGTGGAGCTAAGCATAATGTCTCTTGTTTTTTCCCAGGAATGGAAACAGTTTACTGGAGCTCCCCTGATTTGGAAGATAATCCCTGTGGCCATTTCCAGCAAGGAAGTAAATGCTACCATTTTCTTTACCTACAGGTTGACACAAGAGGAATGATTCCTCATTATTTTCCTTTTGATACATCTCTTTTGCAGATTTTTTGCAGGTCCTAGCTGAAGTCCCAAAATTTCAACTATGTGAAATTGATTGAAGTCATAATGCAGTTACTCAGACTTAGGTTCTTAGCTTCAAATTAGAGCCCAGATTTTGAATTAGAAAAGTTTAAAAATCCTTTCTGGACTCAAAATATGAAGTGAATGGATATAAAGTGATTGGATGAAGAGTCCTGGCTGAGGCTCTGTTCCACAGGAGAGTTAAAACAACATAAACATGAACAGGCCCCTGGACCATTTGTTTGTTTGTTTTTTAAGTTAGATTGTATGTTAATCCTTAAAAATTAATATTTCAGAAAAATAAATCACTTTACAGTCATAAATAGGGAGAACACAATGAGGGCTAGTAACTTTCTTTCTCTGAAACTAACTGTTCTTCCTCTTACTTGCCAGTATCAAAATTCAGGATTCCCTCTCTGAACTTTAGATCAATGCAATTAGTGTAATTACTTCTCCTGCTTTCTTTTAGCTTTCTGAAAGACCTACAAATTAATGTGGTTTCTTAAAGTGTGATTGCAGCACATGGAAGGACAATGTTTTCTGGACATCACACACAACCTTTTGAGAACTTGCTGTGCTTCATCTTTAATTCAATCAAGGAATATTAAAGAGACCATTAAGGTCCTTTTTCTTCCTTTCAATTAGTGTGACCTCCGGCAGACATCTATAGGTTTAGTATAATGCCAAGATATTATGAAAAAAATATGATTATAACAGCAGTGACCATTATAGGAAAACTCAGGAAAGTTTCAGGTGCCCAGAATAAAGTATGACATGGAGTGGACCACAGACTGTATTATAACACCAGGAATTATATGATCCTCATATTATCTGAATCAATAAAAAATGCTATTTAGTCTCCGTAAACTTTCAGATAGTCATAATATACCTTATTCCTAAATATATAATTTCTGTTCTTTTACTGATCACTTACATTCTCAATGTCTAATATCAATGAAACTGCTGTGAATAATTTCTCATATGTGAGAAATGCATTTTCTTCACATAAAAAATCCAAACCATTTCTAACCCATTTGTTGAAAACAATTTTTTAAAATATCAGAAAATATTCTCTGTTTCTGTTCTGAGGAATACATAAACTACCCCTAGTGAATGCTATGAAGAGGAAATTATTTCTACATTTATAGAAAATGTAAAGGCTGCCAACCAACATTTTGTGTACATCTCAAATTATTTATCCCACTGCAATCTTTTCTGACAACAGGATAATTGCTTCAATAATACAAAAACTGGAAAATAGCTTTGCCACACAAATCTTAGTAGTACATAAAATAGAAAGCAGGATGTAACTATTGAACAGAAAATCATATTATGAGGAATATATTTCTTCATAGCACAATTCATTAAGTATTGAATTCAGAAGATCATTTCACTTATTCCTGGGGATACTTTTTTCATTTTTTGTTACCAGAAAAGTTCCACTTTATACTTATTAGTAACACTCATTGTTGGTGAACACTATTTTGCATCACATCAGAAATGCTTCTTTTCTTTAGAAGTAAATAAAAAAAGAAGATCAAAAAGACCTGCAAACATTAAAAATCTGACATAAAAAATGATGAAAAATTCTTGCAATCCATGTCAAAGAAAAAGTCTAGGGCAGCAGTGCCAGAACAGTTCTTGCACTAAGGAGATTAGCTAATGACTCAAGATTGATATGAGGCATCTTCCTAAGGCAGCTGGATCACTAAGAAGAATGTGTTATTTTAACTCAGGCTGTTCTGTAAGGAAACTCCTTTTCTGTAACCCTGTTAAATGAGACCCAAAAATAAATTTTTTAGAAATTTCTTTGATGTGCCTACCTATATCATAAAAGCCAAGACCTCTGCCTGCCCTTCAAGAGCAGATCAACATATTAGAAATGTAATGAGGAACATTAGGCCAAGGAAGAAATCACAAGCTCTGCAACTGCAGAAGAATGTGAATTCACCCTTTTGCTGAGCAACAGCACCAGAATGGTAGAGAAATGCCACCTCTGTATGCTTCTATCTCTGTTCAAGCCTCATTTCCTCAGTTTATCTTAACCAATTTTTCAGTAATATTTTGGTAATAAAGCAAAAGATTTCCATAACTCATGTGTCAGTTTGATATGTGACAATTTTTGGACACTCTTCACTCCCAGTGTAATAGCTGGTGATTCAAATTGGTGGGAAGCTCAACCGCTTGTCATGGCAGATCTTTATGCACGTTTACCCAACTTCCCATGGAAATAACTGGACCTCTGAAAGAAGTTGGACCTCTGTAGAGTGTTCAATGGTATGAAAGTGCAAAGTAAAACATGCCTGTGGCAACACTGTTGGGCAGGTGTGATACGTAAAGCATCCTGCAGCCCTAAGCCTCCAGTGTGCACCCTGACCATAACCTAGCAACACTGAAGGACCACCCCAGCTGGAGAGCAGGGAGGACCCTCTGCTCCAGATAATCAGGAGGTCAGGACCACAAAATGTCCTATGAATAGCATGGGGATAGAAACAGGGACATAGGGCCAGAGCTGATAACACCAGTAATCAGAGGGACAAATCCCAGGTCTTAATGTCTTCTTTAGAAAAGTGTGCATCCTGGACCTAAAACAGTAAAAGCTTCACAGCTGAAAGATGTCATGCCCCAAACACTGCTGCCTTCAAGAACATAACATAGTCCTAAAAAATTATTTTACATAGCATTTCACTACAGCTCTGGGTCACTTCTCATTCAGTATAACCCTGGAGAAGGACTAGCTGAACACACTGCCAAGGTATCGCTCATCTTGAGCTGACAGAAGGCACTAAAAAGCCAGGAAGAGAATGAATGCCTCGTTTACTGCTGAAGTTATGCTGATCAAGGTCTATGAAAGGTGTGTGTGGAGGGGGAGACATTTACAAATACTGAAGGTTTTTTTTTTAAATCATAGACAAGAGATTCTGTCACAGTTTGCTGCGCCCATCATCAGTGATGAGATATTGATGTAGCATGACACAAATGAAGAAATACAAAAATAATAATCTCTTCATCTTGTTCAGTTTTTCATGTTCCCCATAAGTGTCATACCTTCTTGTGAGTATTAAGGTAGAATAAAGGAAGTAAATGACAGTTTCAGATGGAGTGTTTTTGATAAATACAAGCTGTTACAGTGGAGGTTTATTGTTTCAATTTTTCTTGATACAGAACCCACTGCTGCTCCCATCGATGTCAAAGCTACGAGTTTGTCTGTATCAGAGATTCTTGTTGCGTGGAAACATATTAAAGAAAGTCTAGGAAGACCACAGGGATTTGAGGTATGAACAGAATATAATAATGAGAAGTCTTGTTGCTTTTGCTAGCATTGCATTCTGTTAACATGTGCAGTAGTGAAACTTCAATAGAAATTATGCTCAGTTTAGCATACAGATGACTAGCTGTAGAACAACGGTCACAGCTGTAGCATCAGAACATCTTTTATTTATTTGTGCTTGAAAACTGTTCAACACCAGCTCTTATAGCATCTCTTTGGCACTTCAAAAAGAGCTGAAAGAACTGCAAGTGACCCAGCATGCCTCTTTCACAGGCTGGGGAAGATTAAGTATTGACTCTTTCCAGCTCTAAGTGACCAGTTCAAACTTGTTATTTACTGAAAGCAATCAACACAGAGAAAGGAAAGAGCCCCTGCCATCCATGTGCTCTCATCCCGCAGTGGCCAAGGGACATCTGCTGGGCAGATCATAAAAGGTCAGATGTCAGGAGGGGAAGCAGCAGCTGCACAGTCCACAAATAAAGCTCTGCTTAGAGACAGCCCATCCTGACTTGGGAAAGAGAACTGGCCCTGGCAACAGACCTTCTCACACCTTTGTATCCAGTTTAAAATCCAAACCTCCAGGAACTGATCAGATCTAGGGCTATACACACCCTGACCTTGTAGTTCAGGCTATGATGGTCCTCATGAAACAGCTCAGCTAGATTCAATTTACTGATGTTGGGGTGCAGATTATTTGACCTGCTGTAGTCCTTTAGAGAGTGCTCCTTCCTGGTTCTCCACAGTAACAATGAAAAGAGGCTAAACATGTAGATCTGAGCAGATATTAATCATACAGATGTCCAAAGATATCTTGTAACCTGCTATCACAGTGTTTCCCTGGCAGCATTTCTGGACAAAATCTAGGGGCTGGTGACTATCAATGATAGCCTTAGGAAGAAAACATATGTACCTGGGCAGCACCAGAGCCAGCACATTCTCCAGCACAGCCTAAGGCTGGACAGCCATGACCAAGACAGCACATTTACCCCACAGCTTAGACACAGTTAGCATTTTTTTACCTAATTGCTGTAGCCTCTTGATAGTTAGATACTCCTGTATTGTTATCCAGTGCAGTCTGAGCATTCTGTGACCATGGCTGTCCCCTCAGGACTCTCTCTTTGTCCAGGTCTCTCCCATATACATCTCCAGGCTGAACTCTGCAAACTCTTTGTCAGCTCTCTCTCACTGTATTTTGTCTTCATCTCTTCCTTATGTTAAATATGTTTTTACCCCTTTGCACATGACTAGCTTCATGCAGAAAAAGTGATATCTAACCATCTTACCTTTAGAACTGCTATATAGAGAGAACAAAACTGTATCTGATAGAGATGATATTCACCTTGCAAATGCTATCCCTCTCCACAATGAAGTATTCCACTTGTTACTAACCTTTGTCTTCAATTTCCAGGCCAGTCTTTTGTCCTTTGAAATAATGTACTCACCGTACCCTGTATTTTTCTCTTCAGAAAGATGGCTGTTTAGTTACTCCCTCTCAGATGTATTTTAAATTATACCTAATACTTTTATACTCTTATCCTCATTCCATCCATCACATTGATTCTCAAAATCTTCTGTTACCTTTGTTTTACATATTTTAAAATAAAAAAATAGATTTTCTTTCTAAAATTGAAAATGATTGCCCTAGAAACTTATTGTTTCATAACTTGAATGTATTTTGGTTTTACCTGCTTGTCACATAACAGTTCTCTCAGCTCCACAGATGTGTCCCAGAGATAGATAGCTATTACAGATAGGACAGTGGGCTTTCTCTGTATCAAAGGTGGTCTCCTTGACTTGGCAAGTGTTTAGACCTTCAGAGTTCAGCATACTCTGACCCCAGCAGAAACACTCACTTGCTGTGTGTCTCTCATTGGACTTCTTCAGAATGAATTTGGAAATTGTTATTGATACAGCAGGGGTTATTAACATTGAACTTTATTAATAATTGGGGTCTTCACTGTGCTGCACACCAATTTTAGAATTCTAGCATGAAGACTACAGAGTAAATATTTCAAGCCAGATATCTGCAGTTGACAGAACAAAAAATTGAAATATAAAAATACTGCACTTTTTACCTTGTCCCACGAGGGAGTTAAAGGAGCCTTCTGAGTACTTCTTTTATCTATGGAGAATAATTTTTTCTCTCCCCAACATCCTTTTTCCTCTTTGTTAATTTAGCCAGAATTTCTCTTGCCTGCTTTCTGACAGATTAATCTTTCAAGGAGCAGTTTGCTCTTTTCTGTGCTCATTCTCAGGAAGAATTATGATCAGAGCAGCCCTTACTCGATAAACAGACAAGTAAATTCTGCTCTCCTGCATAA